GATAACAAGTCCAGCACAGGAAACGAGAGCCTCCTTCCTGATGGTGTCATAGGTTCTCACCATGGACGCCAGACAGGCTGGAGTGGAGTCCCTGACACTCAGTGCAAAGGACTGGGAGGCAAATGTTTCTGGTGACAATGTTCTGGAGTTCATAGTTATTCAGTTGTGCCCTAAACACTGGGTGACTCATCTGCAATGTCTCTTGACCTGGGTTCAGACATTGTCATTGCAGTGATGTACATCAGCCATTGGAGCCAGAGGTCTCATGGCTGAAAAAAAATGCAGTTTTGATCCACACTCAGACAGAAAGTCATGTTTCCAGCCCTGTCAATTTTCCATGTTCAGCATGCATCCAATGGACAGCTGGACTTCATCAGTGTTTGGACTCCACCGAGTGTTGTCTCTCCCCCCCCCCCCCCAAAGGTGGTACTCTGTTGAAGGTGGGGGACTTCAGATATCGACCTTCTGCCTTTCCTCCCCTGAAGCTCCCACTTCATTTGCTTTGCAATATCAAAATTAAGGGAATATGGTGATTTTGTATTGTACCGAACTGGCCCAGGTGACTGTATTTGGACCTCATCAGGCTCTTGGTAGATAATTGATGGGTTCTTCCAAATTGTTTGACCCTTCTGTCCCAGGGACTGGTTTACAGCCATTTTATTTGGTTGCTGGCTTTAACGGCTTGGCTGTTGAAATCCAGGACCTGAGGGGAATTACATTGTTAAAAATTGGCTAGGAAGTGAGCATCTAGCAAAGTCTACCATCCTATCTGGAAAGCATATTTTTCATGGATCAATATCTGGCCTCGATTACCATCATGAGTCAAATCTCAGCCATAGTAATTCTTTTGGTTCTCACTTCCCTTTTGAAGGCCTTTGTGTTCTTCCTGTATGCTCCCCATTCTCTTTTGGATCCTAACCTGGTTCTTCATTTGAAGTTACTGAGGATTTTATTTATTTTTTTTTTTTTTAATCTATCCTTACTGACAAGTTTGCCTTTCTTGTCACCATCACCTCTGAGGTGAGTTTCTGATTTGTCAGCCTTGACCTGTAAAGAATCCTTTATTGTTGTACATAAGGGCAAGGTTGTTTGGAAGCCCAGAGCCTCTTTCATTCTCAGTGTGGTTTCTTCTTTTCACCCTAACCAAGACATTGTTCTTCCTATTCTGTCCTGTTTCTAAACCTGCTAAAAAGATTTTCCTCAGTTGTCTGGATGTGGTGCGTGTTTCTCAACTTCATCTCTCCGCTACAGCTTCATTTTGTCATGTCAGTCCTCATTAGTCCTAATGATCCCCTAACACTAAGCCCTGTGGGCGTGGTGAAGGCGTGGCCTGGAAGGAGTTTGGTCAAAGCCACTCTTACTCCTCTCTTCACCTGGGCTGTTTTTTTGGAGTGTGTCCTTTCATCCTCTTTTTTTTTTTTTTTTTAAAAAAAAAAAAAAAAAAAAAAAAGTAGCAATTATATTAGTTTTAACAAAGAATAGCTCATGGAAAGGAATAGAATTGAACTAATAGTAAATTAGATTTTGATTTGGCCAATATCTTGAATTTCCACTAAACTTATTTTGACGGATGTAACAAATGCTATATAACAATGCTTCATCTGTGTCAAAAAAAAGATCCTCTGATACAGTTACTATTAAAAAGTGGTTAACATTTGTTTCAGCAATGCAGTACCAGCTGCTTCAATCTGCATAAAATAAAATGGACAATAACTTCAAGACCAGTGAGCTTTAAAAGTAGTTAACCTTGATAGAGGAAACAGGTGTTAATATAATAATACAACAGTTAAAAGATCTCTAGAAATCTGGAGGCGATAGATGTGTTTACATTTTGAGAGCAATGATGTGCAGCTGACTTTAACCTGTCACTCAGTGTTTGCTAAAGAAGGCTCGATGCTACTGTATGCTTCATTGAAATCCAGAGAGAGAATGAACTGCAGGAGATTCTCACCTCAGGACCAGTGCTATAAGCTAAATACCCTTCAACTCTCCATACACTAAATTTGCTCAGTACATTTATATTCTTAAACATTTTCTTCCTAAAGGTGAACTTCAGGTAACGTCGATGTATACATTGAAATAAATCATTGTGTATTTTTGAATAGCCCTAGTATCTGAATCCATAATTTTATCAGTGATCATCCTGCTGTACTGGGCATTACCAGATGGCAAAGGAAGGCACTAAACCTCATTCAGGTTTTGCTTCAGTGCACAATGATGTGACAGTATGAGAAAGCGTGTTCTTTCCATCCTTCATTGTCCAAATGGTACAGGGCTATGTGGTGTTAACCAAGCTGTACTGATGCGGAGGAGTTGGAGAACCTGTCTGTGATTTCTGATTCAGTATCATAATTCATAAAAGTGGATGCACAGAACTGCAATTTTGCAGGCAGTGGTATAAAATAGTGTATATATATATGTGTATGGGATCGAAAGTTTGGGCACCCCAGCTACATATTTGTATTAATGTGCATAAAGAAACCAAGGAAAGATGGAAAAATCTCCAAAAAGCATCAAATTACAGATTAGACATTCTTATAATATGTCAACAAAAGTTAGATTTTATTTCCATCATTTACACTTTCAAAATAACAGAAAAACAAAAAAATGGCGTCTGCAAAAGTTTGGGCACCCTGCAGAGTTAATATCTTGTACTGCCCCCTTTGGCAAGTATCACAGTTTGTAAACACTTTTTGTAGCCAGCCAAGAGTCTTTCAATACTTGTTTGAGGTATCTTTGCCCATTCTTCCTTACAAAAGTCTTCCAGTTCTTTGAAAATCTATGGATAGACCTTAAAAGAGCAGTGCGTGACAGACAGCCCAGAAATCTCAATTATGTTGAGGTCAGGAGATTGTGAAGGCCATGGCAAAACCTTCAGTTTACGCCTCTTGATGTAATCCCCCGTGGATTTCGAGGTATGTTTAGGATCATTATCCATTTGTAGAAGCCATCCTCTCTTTAACTTCAGCTTTTTCACAGATGGCATCAAGTTACCATCCAAAATTTGCTGAAATTTTATTGAATCCATTTTTCCTTCTACTCGTGAGATGTTCCCTGTGCCACTGGCTGCAACACAACCCCAAAGCATGATTGATCCAACCCCATGCTTAACAGTTGGACAGAGGTTCTTTTCATTAAATTCTGTGCCCCTTCTTCTCCAAACGTACCTTTGCTCATTCCGGCCAAAAAGTTCAATTTTAACCTCATCGGTCCACAGAACTTGTTTCCAAAATGCATCAGGCTTGTCTATATGTTCATTTGCAAAGTTCAAACGATGATTTTTGTGGTGAAGACGTAGAAGAGGTTTTCTTCTGATGACTCTTCCATGAAGACCATATTTGTACAAGTATCTCTTTATAGTGGAATAGTGTACCACAACTCCAGTGTCTGCCAGATCTTTCTGGAGGGATCGTGCAGTCAAACGTGGGTTTTGAATTGTTTTTCTCACAATCCTGCGAGCTGTTCTGTCTGACATTTTTCTTAGTCTTCCAGATGTTGCTTTAACTTCCACTGTTCCTGATGACTGCCATTTCTTAATTACATTCCGAACAGAGGATATTGACATCTGAAAATGCTTTGCTATCTTCTTATAGCCTTCTCCAGTTTTGTGAGCGTCAACTATTTTCAGTTTCAGTTTTCTAGACAACTGCTTAGAAGAACCCATGGTGCTGATTTTTGGGGCAAGGTCAGATGAGTCTGGGCATTTAAAACCTTTGAGCTTGACATCACCTGGTCTTCCCAGACGATGATTGAGAACAATCCATGACACTGGCAGGTCTCAGCTTGGCAAAGGGGGCAGTGCGTGCTATAAATTCTGCAGGGTGCCCAAACTTTTGCAGATGCCATTTTTTGTTTTCTGTTATTTTGAAAGCGTAAATGATGGAAATAAAATCTAACTTTTGTTGACATATTATAAGAATGTCTAATCTGTAATTTGATGCCTTTTGGAGATTTTTCCATCTTTCCGTGGCTTCTTTATGCACATTAATACAAATGTTTAGCTGGGGAGCCCAAACTTTCGATCCCCACTGTGTGTGTATGTGTATATATGTGTGTGTGTATGTATGTATGTATGTGTGTGTGTGTGTGTGTGTGTGTGTGTGTGTGTGTGTGTATGTATATATATATGTGTATATATATATAATTTATTTATTTCAACTCTGTATTTAACTGATGGCTTAAAATCAGTTTTGAGATTTTTTGTATTAGGCCCTTTCTCACAAAGGGTTTGATCAGGTCTGCCTGTCAGTTTTTCAGGTGGACCTGATCAGGCTGGTCTATTCAACCTTACATACTGATGGATTGGTGGGTGTAAACGACTTGTGTCTGTTTTATACCCGCCTACCTTTTGCTAAAAAAAAAAAAAAAAAACGGTCCTGCTCCTTCTAGGCCGATCGGAAGGCAGTTGGATGTAAACACAGTGGAGTCAGTTTACTTCTGGCCACCCATATAGCAGAGCGGGTCTTTGTCTGCTCTGCATAAACTAAGCAGGCACGGACCTGTCATCCACCTGCTCTGATCATCAGACATATCCCCTGCTGATCAAAACTGAGTCTGCCCTGTGTGAAAGGGGCCTTGCTGTATAAACAGATAAAAAGACATAGCATTTAGGAGCCTGCAAGACAAATAAAAAGCACTGAAGCCAAATGTCTAGAAAAGTTTTCCTCTAATAAGGTTGTTTTGAGTTACTGAACTATAACAAGTATGCAGATTCAGCTTTGCTGTGTTCCTGGAGAGATGTCTTATGTCAGAAAGGAGACCTGCTGTTTGATTATCCTCAGGAAGCAGCTATTCTGTAAGTCGCGCTGCTTTTTAGTTCCAGGGCAGTCATTTTCTGAACTGGTATAGCTTAATTGCCCTAGAATTGGCATACAAGCCTTGGTCTGGTTGCTTTTCTCAGTACTGTCTGTATTCATATTGCCAAATATTTTGTTTTTGTAACGTTTTTTTTTTTTTTTTTTTCCTTTCTAATTGTGAGTTTAACCTATTATTCAATACAGGTGGAATGTTGCAGGCATTCAAGGATCCCTGTTCAGTCTGTTTGTAGAGCCAATTTACTTCTCCAGCATTATCCTGGGCAGCCTGTATCATGGGGATCATCTCTCAAGAGCCGTGTACCAGAGGATAGCCGATATAGAAGACTTACCATCATTTTATAGCCTCAACAAACCATTACTGAGTGGTAGGTTTGAATCCCTTCTATATACAGACATAGTATTTATAGATTGCAACTCTGCTGAAAAAAATAAATGGTGGTTACATCTCCGGGCAGATATTCTTAAAGCCTAATTTCAGCCAATGTGTTGATTTGAGATTTGAGTTGGAATATGTGGAGAGCAGGTACATTTTTGGAGATTTGGGGGGAGGGGGTGGTTCTGTCATCAATAGGGATAGAAAGGCACAGACAGTTATTTCACCACACTGCCTAAAATGTTTTGGTGTCCCCAATGGTAAAGTCTCACATCTTCCATTAGGATGGGAAGTCAGGTCGTGTGAAAAATCTCAGCAATAGGGACCACAGTTGGTACTGTCATACTGGCCTTGTGGGGCAGAACTACTAAGGTTATTTTGCTGCTACGGAGTCCCTGGGAAATAATCACACATTATTGTCCAGCCACAACTAAAATATTATTTTGGTTGACCAACAAAAAGTGGTTTGCCCTGATAAAAAGATCTTGTCAAACACCAAACCCAGTGTTAGTTATATATCAGTAGATCAATGTTGTTAAAGTAATACTCGAGGCAAATTTTTGTTTCCATTTTGGATAAAGTAAGGGAGTTTTATAACCCCTGTCATATTTTTTTTTTTCTTTGCTATTTGTGTCCAATTAGGGAGATTTCCTGTCCCATAGCTAAAATGAGGGAGTCCCTGGTTGTCACCAGATCTAGTACCCCCAAAATTTGGGGGGTTTGTTTTGCTTTCAGTCTCGGTGAGCATGGTAAACAGTTACCTCATTCCAAACCCAAGAGGCTAATCCTACCACTATAATCTTATAGCACAATGTATAAACACTCTCCACTTAAAGAATATGTAGATCACTATGAAAAGGTAGGGATTTTATCCCATGTACAGTAGATCACTCAGCAGCAACAGACATTTTAGCTAAACAGATAACAGTAGCTCTCTGTTATACATTTTATATAACAAACACTTTAGTAATCCTTTGAGCTACATATTCCGCTAAAGACATTGGCCAGTTCCTTAAATGACCAATTGTATGTTGATGATCTGGATGTAAAGCACCTGAACTGGTTCCCAATTCCTTGGGGTGCTTATTAACCAGAGGGAGATGCATTGCCACACCCAGCAAGTCTCCAGCAGTATCTGACACAAAAATCCATAGCCTTTATGTGATTTACGCTCTGATCTCAGGGATTAATCCCTATATCGCCATGGTTTGTACACTATACGATTATGGCGGTAGGATTAGTCTTTTGGATTTGGAATGATGTAACTTTTGAGTAAAATGTAATGATCTGATACAAGAGTTTGATGTAGGGAGAAAGCGAGTACTTAGAACATTTTTTTTCAGTTTGACTTCTCTTTCCAGATAACGCCTTAGCAGCCTTTACCTTCTCTTTCCATCCCCCCCCCCCCCCCCCCCAAACAAAATCTCAAAAAGATGACTTTGTTTCCTTAGGTATTAGCAATGCTGAAGCCCGCCAGCCAGGAAAAGCTCCAAGTTTTAGTGTGAACTGGACAGTGGGAGATACTGGTCTTGAAGTAATTAATGCTACTACTGGCAAGGATGAGATGGGTCGAGCATCTCGTTTGTGTAAACATGCTCTGTACAGTCGGTGGATGCGTCTTTATGCAAAGGTGTGTATTGGGGTTTTTTTTTTTTTGTTTGTTTTTTTCGTGGGGTTTTTTTTTTTAATTTTTAAAATGTTCACTGATTTAACCACCTTCCACCTGCCCTATAGTACAATCACAGGCGAAAGGTGGTTCTCTCGTTCTGATAGGACGTCATATGACGTCCTACCATTCTCACTGCGCATGCGCGGGTCAGGGAGCGCACAGCGATCGCCGGTGCGCTGTGTCCCTCGGACAAAGCGGATCAGAGCCGAAGATGTCGGCTCGGTCATGTGATCAGCTGTGTCCAATCACAGCTGATCACATGTAAACACGGAAATGCCAGTTATCGGCATTTCTCCCCTCTCGAGCTGTCAGCGTGACATCCTGGTATTACCATTGGTTAAAGTGATTGTACACTGGCAAGCTTTTGAGAACATGCCTTGTGTTGCATGTGCCATTATAACACACTTGAACAGGTGAAAAGTTGTTTAGCGAATGAGCTGCCTTTGCAGAGATTTGAATCCCGGCACACTTCTTATATACATGCCCATGAGGTTTCAATGCCAGTACATGCCTGAACCCTGCTGACATAATTTTGGTTGGGTTGTTTTATGTTTGATATGGTTCTTTGGGTCTCACATGATCCATTTTAAGGCTAACCGTGAAGGATGGACATAGACAATTTAGATAATCCTTTACCTGATTCATATCACATATTGGATTGTATATTAATAGAAAGGGTTCACAAGAACTGATTAATGATGGTTTTATGTTCACAGCTTTCTTCCAACTTGAGAACAAAGATTGGAAAACCGAACTTGTATTATGACACCAAGCAGTCGGCCTCAGAATACCAAGCAGCAAAAGAATGCGTTTTCAAAGCCTTTCAAAAGGCTGGACTGGGAGCCTGGGTCAAGAAGCCTATAGAACAAGACCAGTTTCCTCTTACTGTTTAAACCCATGAACATGTTTTAATTTCTGTAACAAGGCAGAGGTATATGGACACTATTTGAGAACCTAGTTATGATTTCCTTGTATCTCTGATGTGCCAATCATCCTCAACTGCTTTTTTTTAACCTCCCTTTTTCCTATATCAATAACTTTTAGGTCATTCCAAGATTGTTTTATAGAGTCTGGAAAAGTGTCGATTTTATTTATTCCTTAGTGACCAAAGGCAGTATATATTTTTGTTTTTGTAAACACCTGCCTCAGTTCTTATTTTAAGTAAACTGTATCTTCAGCTGGATATCTATCACCTCTGTAAATTGTATATAATTAAAACCGCACCCCAGTGTGCTAAACGGGCAGCTGAGATGAACTAGGAAAAGTGATTATTTTGATTTGTTTTTGTTTCAGATGTAATTGATAGTGGTTTTACACTGTACTTTTGAAGTTCGGAGTATTTCATTAGCTTTTTTTTTCTTCCCTGTCCTCTGGTTTGTGAATTTTAGCCTGCTGTTGACACCAACGTAGCCAGCAATACTCAATTTTGGGTTGGTAACTTCCTGTTCTACCTCTCCCAGAAGTGAGGGAGTCAGTATATAGTACCCTTCCTCCTATAGTAAAAGGGTTTAAAACCAGCTGCTGAACATTTAGTGTCCTGTGTGTCTATTTATTAATGTGTGGCTTATGATTTTATTACTCCACTTTACACATGTTGTGAAGTTATATTTTAACCATTGCTAACTGGAACACATCTATATTTGTATTTTCCTTGATCTCTAGACTGTGGTTGTAAAGCAGAGTCTACATAGATGTAGCCTGTTTTCTGGAAGTGCAGCCAGTGTGTACAGACAACTAAAGAAATTCCTATTTCATGCAAAGGTGTTAAACCAACCTGATACAGAAAGCTATTAGTTGGAAAGGCACATCACATTTGTATGTTTTGTGATGTCCTTTTACCAAAGCATTTTGCTTTGCTAAACTGTAGTGTAAAATTAAATGAGGTGTCTGCTTATTAAGCATGCTATTACCACTTAAAGTATGTATATATTGACTTGAGAAACTGGCATATAGGATCTAGGTCTCATCGCTAATTTGACCATGTCTATATAGCAGGTGTCTCTGTTGTGGTCAGTTTATGCTGTACCTGTTTCCTCTAGCTATGTCCAATATGGATGAATCCATAATTGCCTTTTGTTTTCACTTTGGAGCAGGCAAGCATGGATAGGTTGATGTTGTACAGCTAATAGATGTTAGATAGCCAGCAACTGTTCTTATTCCACTTTATCCTGGTTAAATGAGAATAAACTGTTCAGACATAACTGGTAGAATCTCACTGCGCACAAATATCTTAATGGCTCATGCTTCATATAAAAGGCTCTAACCTTGTGAGCAACTTTATGAACCACAGCACATTAAGCAGCTCATTGTGTTTCAGCAAGTGAGGTCTGTTTTGGCGATGTCTAACACTATGAAATATATAACTTATGCCAGTCAATTGCTTCAATGCCTGCTGGTCACAGTTCTTACAATTTACAATGCATTCCCATCCTTTTTGTGAATGGTTATGTCCTCTGTTAAATAGAACATGAAGGCCAAGTCATCTACAGCTCTAATGCAATCCCTTCCTATCATCTTGTAGGTGTAGCAGTTTCTCAGTGTGTGTGCCCATCTGCTGCACATTGTACTTGGAACAATCAGAATAAACATTTGAAGGTTGTACAAAATAAAGCAGGGACTGTTTTTGTATATATAAAAAAATATATCTATACCTTAAGCTGGTATGTGGTCATTTTTTAAATAATTTTTTACACTAAATTGGACTATAAAAACAAGTGTGTATTCACTTCATATTTATAGTGTGAGCATGCTAATTGCATATCCTTAATTGTATAAGAAGTAAGAAGGTTTTAGCGGGAATGTGAATGCTGAGGCTTCATTCAGCCAAGTCATGTGTTGAATGCAGATAGTTTTACCTGTTTAAATATTTTTTAAAAAGTCAACATTTAAAGCTGAACTAAACACATCAATTTCAGTTTCCCAAAATGGTTATATTTGAGGCATGGTGTGAAAACTTGTCACAAGTGCTTGTGCTCTCAGCCGAACTATCATGCCTTCTGACTGGTGTCATTACTCACCACATGTGCAGTACTACAACAGCTACAGATAAAAAAGAGGCTAAGGCAGTCCCATGACTGTAAAAGGTAGTAGGTTTTAATTCTGTTTTTAAATCTCCATTCAAACAGTGCCTGCAGATCAAAATAATTTACTTTAACCACTTCTTGTCTGCCCTATAGCAGAAGTACTACTACAGGGCGGCATATATGTGTGTAATATCACGTGTGTGTATATACGTGACTTTGCATTTGCTGCTGCTGCTGTCAATCTCCAGGTCCCGGCCAGTGATTACTTGCCGGTGCCTGGTGATTGCGGAGCATCTCCAACTGGGGAGAGAACTGTTTAGTAAACAAAACAGTTCTCTCCCCTGTCAGCTCCTGCACACTGCTTTGCATGGCTGTGCACAGCCATGCAAAGCAGTGTGCTTACAGTAAAGCACACAAACAGCCCCTAGTAAAAGAGCACATTGCTAACCCTTTGATCACCCCACATGTTAACCCCTTCCTGCCCAGTGCCATTAGTACAGTGTCAGTGCTTTTTATTAGCACTGATCACTGTATTGGTGTCACTGGGGATGTCAGTGACACAAGTCAGTTACCCTCAGTGTCAAAATGCCCGCCGCAGTCCCACTATACGTTGCTGATCACCGGCATTCCTAGTAAAATTAAAAAAAAAAAAAAAAAAAAAAAAAAAATCCCAGTATATATACTGCCATTTGTAAACTCTGTAACGTTCACATAAACCAATTAATTTACATATATTGGGATATTTTTTTTTTTTTTTTTTTTTAGCAAAGACATGTCACAAATGTAGGCCAAAATGTATTCTGCTACAACTTTGATTTTTTTTTTACTCAACATGTTTAATAGCAAAAATCAATATTATTATTATTTTTTTTTTTTTTTTAATTATACCATAAAAAAAAAAAACCACACAGGCGATCAAATACCACTGAAAGAAAGCTATTCGTGGGGGAAAAAAAAACGTAAATTTCATTTGGGTGCAGTGTTGCTGGACTGTGCAATTGTCAGTTAACGTAACGCCATAATGCAAAATGCATGGTCAGGAAGGGGGGGGGGGGGGTAAATCCTCAGAAGGGCAAGTGGTTAACAAATGATGCATAACATTTACATGGTGTATTCATCCTTATAATCTAAATATGAGTATACTTACTTATCACATGGAAAAAGTTTACAACTACAAGACTTACAATTAGATTTGGGTGTTCTAGTTTAGGTTCCAATAATAAACACCACTTCCTGTCTTGTTTCTCATGTCGGACCTCCAGGGTCTGGTGCTTTTTGCTTTTGACATGTGTGGTGTCGTCATGCCAAGATCAAGAGCTCACCAATCCCTCAGAAAAAAGATGTGTGCTGGTGAGTCTGGCAAGTAATTTTAAAACAACAAATATCAAAACACTTAAATTTAGTGCTCAATGGTTGTTGCTAAAAGTCTCCAAGAACCTCAAAACTTAACTCTGGGAATTGCAGGTAATTGTGGCAACAATTGATGTCCGAATGTAAGCATCTACAATTGGAAAGAGATTGCACCTATTTAACCTACAGTGAGTGTCCCAGGATAAAGCTTTTGTTGTCTAAAACAGTGTTTTCTCGAGCTTTTTTCAGTCAAGGCACTTTTTACAATTATGGACAGTACCAAGGCACCCTTAAAATTATGGACAGTTTTGAGACACCCCATTCTAAAATTAGAAAAACTATTCTAATAGTTTTGTAAAATGCAGCAACATCCACACATGTAGGACACCCAACATTAGAGGTGATTTATTTTTCCAAAGAAAATACACTTTTGCATACTGGTACTGAGTAGTATTCCATTGTTTTCTCTTCTCCATCAGTTTTTTTTTTTTTCCTCCATCACTGAATAATGTGACACCAGCACTGATGGAGATGGGCAGGGGGAGGGTCAAACTAGGATGCTGTGCAGGCAACTGACATCCTCATCAACTGATGTCATTGGCTATCAGGAAGCCGCGGCTAGAAGGTTGTAATGTGCACAATGAAAACCTGTGGCCTTTGTGTAACTAAAAGGCAGGCTTGTTCCACCCACTGGCTTGTATACAAGTTTTGAGCAATTTTTAAACATTTTGCCAAGGCACCCCTGAAGAAAACTCAAGGCACTCTGGTTGAGAAAGGCTTGTTGAAAACATTAGAGCAATACTATACTCTGCCATTAAACATATAGGCAAAGACCAGGTTTTTCTAGAACAAGTGCTGTGAATTGATAAATCAAAGATTGTTGTTTGGCCACAGTAAAAGTAGACATGCTTGGTGCAAGCTGAAGTCTGCATTTAAAAAGAAACGTGTATTCACTGGAAAGGTCAGTGGGGGAAAGTTGTGATTTGGGGTTGCGTTATTGCTTTAGAGCCTAGGAAGCTTGCAATCAACATGATGATCTGAAGCACACTAGCAAGTCCAGCAATGAATACCTCTGGAAAAAAAAATAATACAGGGTGTATGAGCAGCTCTACAGTGATATGATAGCTGGAGTTCCTGGTTCTGGGACATTGTCATATGACGTCCTCCCAGTCGCACCTCCTGTGTCCACTGATGACCGATCGGTGTATGAGGCTGGACCTGGTGTTATGTGATTGCTGTGACCAATCACATCACTTGTACAAAATGAGTGGCTTTCATTCCTAGGCCATCATTGCGTACTATTGTGATCTATTGATTGGTCAGACAGGGTTAATCAATGTGCACTGTACCATGTGATAGCTGTGGACAGTTATAGCTATAAGAATAGTACACGCTGGCTATGAATGGATGTCTTTCATAAAAATGATTGCTTATAAAACAGTGATTATCACGGTTATAAGCAGTGCTAAAAGAAAAAAAAAAAATCCTGATTACCTCCCTAGAGTAGTACAGTGTCACTA